CTGCTGAATAAAAACTTTCTTATTGTGTAAGAACTTCCAAATCTACAGCACACAAAGAGTATAAGCCAGTATTTGATTAGGCAAATGTTTTATACTTTTTAATGTCTTTGCAATTTAATAAAATATTATTAGACTCTGAAAGGATTTCTAAACACTTTCTTCCAGGCTTGATACACTTAGGAATATTTTGTTTCTCTTCAAAAAGAGATTACCTAATTCTATTTATTCCCCCCTAATAACAGCAAGGAGTAGGTATTATTCTACGCATTTTACAGGGAGGAAAAGTGACCTGTCCAAGGCCGCAGACAGCAAACAAGCATCAGAATGAGGTTTATAGGTCAGAAGATCTAGATTCGCAGTCATTCCGTGTGTAATGTCTTCACGCTGCCATGGTGAAACAGCAATTCTGAAAATGAGAGGCAGCTCACCTACAGCTAGCTTTGTAAGTACCTCTGTAGTATGCTGCTGTCTGCTGTACAACACAGTTATACATTTCCAAGTCTGTAGACTAAGATTCTATAACGTACTGAAAAAAATTCAGTCACAGATGGATAATGCTATGGGATTTTGTAAAAATTCCAAGATTCTTTGAAATACCTCAACAAAAGGACAAATTAACCGTGGAAGCAGAGACAGGTCATCAATTACATCTCATTTAAATTTACAGTAAATTGTTATGAAATTATTCGGTTCCTGTAAAATGCTACTCTGCCAAACAACGGTAAGAGCACAGATTATCTTAACTACTCACTTTTACTACATTATCCCCTGACTGTCCATTGTTGCGTAAACAGTCAAGGCAGATAGCAATCTGTGGGTCACTCCTGTGATAGTCTTTATCTTCTTCATTTTCATCACCTTCCTCATCTACTTTGGGCTTATCAGCTTTTGGACTTTCATCTGTAAAATACAAAGACCATATTATTTACGTGTATAACAGTTAAAAGTCACAATGGCAAACAAACATTTATTTAAAGTAATATTTTGTTTTTAACAGAGTATTTTTCTTCAAATTAACTTTACGTATGTGTGTCCTTAAATTGATCAATTTACAAATCTCTGAAAATGAAGTTTTAGTATCGAAATTTTAATGTAATATGCATACCACAGATTTCTGTGTGACAGAAAATAATTAGGCTGATGGACTGCTACTGATGATGGATGTCTATTTTTGTTTGTGTCCAGTGGAAAGTCCCCGACTGCAAAGCATCAAGATCACTCAACCATGCATACCTATTCTATGGTGTGGCAGCTCACTGACGGTCCCCTCCGCCACTTTTATCCCACAGTGGGATAACTAATCCCCCTACTTGTATGTCAAAGTAACTTGGGTAAGTAATCCACATTAACAATCTGCTGTAATAATCCTGTGGAGACAAATTCCTGAAATGTTATTATGAAGTACACTAAGGAAAGATAAAACCTAACGTCCACCCATTTTTGACCTGGTCTAGGCAATGTTGTAAAAACCCCACGTGCCTTTCTCCAGCAGGATTTTATAAATGAATAGCTAATAGCTATTTATTCCTCTTGGAAAAAAAAAAAAAAAAAAAACCACAGAGGTATGGTCCACAATTTTTTTAGCAGAACACATATGCCATGTTTTTCTCCCCACTGATGTTGTTACTCATTCTACTGAATCTTAGTTTAAGTATCAAACGATTCAGAAAAGGTATCATCTATAGATTTCAAAGGTTTAGCACAGTTGGACCCAAATCTTAATTGCTGCAAGGATATTTAGACGCTGTTACACTGCACATAAATAATAACCACGCAGTGAAGTAAAACAGAGCAATTTTTACAGATTTGCAATAGGGTATACAATAACGCTAACATATACATTAGTTGTAATGATTTTTTCTGTATCCCCTAACTGTTTATTTTGATTTAAAACAGAGGCTGGTCTCTGTTGGCATAAAACTTTATCAGAAGATACACCCAAGTAACACGAATGGGCTATTTTTGAAATTCCCGATAAACTTGCAAATTGAATTCTGCTGTTTTCCTACATTTACCACAAACTTTTTACATAACATTTAAGAGACTGAAGATAAGAAGACAGAAGGAAAACTTTAAGGTATACCAAGCTATGCATAAGCTTCTAGACACTGCAATTAGTTAACTTCATTAAGTTTACATATTCAAGTTCCAATTTAAGCTTATATATTACTTTTCTGTCTTACAATTTTGAAATATTTTAGAATTAAAAGAAAAGGTTTGTCCATGAGTACCTACCAGCCACTCTGATATTTAACTGAATGTGTATCATACATACGTTTGGTCTCTATTGTCTCTGATTTGCTATAAACAGAAATTACACTATTGAGCTACAGATTTTTTTTTTTGGGGTGGGGGTGGGGTGGGGGGAGTCCAGAAATTAAACTCTCTTAATCAAGCAGGCAAAATCTACCTGTCACAAGCATTTGTCTGAGGCGTATGTGTCTGTGATTCATAGCAATACACCCACAGTGTTCAACAGTTATCAGTGCTGAATATTAGAGGCAGATCTAATTACATAGTTTGAAAAATCTTGAAAGGCAAACCAAACACAGATGTAGTGAAATCAGCAAATTTCCAATCATAAAATCATTCCAGAAACATGTACATGAAAAAACTCTCACCTTTTACAATATTCTATAGAAATTTAAATGCACCTCTGCGTCCCAAATGGCACCATACTTTTTACTAGAAAGACCCTTGTAGATATTAGAATTAATGATGTCTACATAGGCCACCTCCAGAAATCAATGTGTTGGTCCATTAAAGGCATTATATTAAATCTCAACAGGATACAAATAAAAGAAAAAAAAAAAAACACCTAACTAAATCTTACCAAAATGGACTCAGTGTTCTCCAAGTCAAAGCATCAGGCCAAGAACAGAAGACAAGGAAAAACAAACCTAACCCTCCTACACCCAATCCTCCTTCCCTCAGGCATAATTTGGTGTCTCACATTTCTTTCTCACAAACCATGATATTAGCTGCCAGTAAGTTCTTAGGTGTCTACTTCCTGTGCTTTTCTCAGATATTTAATGTCAAACTGATTGTCAGAGTGTGAGTGAGCGTTAAGTTGTCTGCCTTCTTCCTTCTTCAGTTCTGCCTGGGGAGGACCTATGAGAATTTTTTTGTCTATATCACAATCTATTTCCTAGGACCATCCATCAAGTTTCTCTAATAACCGCTCTCCGAGTGCAAGTACCAATACTTGTGATATGGTCTGCTTTTTTTTCTTCTGATATGTAAAAAAAATGTAACTTTTGGTATTCTATTACAGATCTTGAGTGCAAAGGTTGGAAACTGTGCTGTGACCTGTGGTACAGTACGTAAATGGCAGACTCCTTTAAACTAGACTATGACTATGGGATTGCAGGGGAATAGTCTTGACAACTAAAATAGTCCCTTTTTACTGAAATTATTCTTACTAAATACTTTATTTTCAGGCAAGATTCTAAGTGCTTGTTTATGCTACAGAATAGATTAAATACTCATAATTTGTCTCAACGTGTTAGCATGGCTTTCAAATGTTTTGTATAGCCAAATTTCACTAGCCCAAGGTCATACTTACTAGCAGAGCTGGCTACACCTGTAGATACTTAAAATTATATTTTGAGAGTTTGAACTTCCCTCTGACTTACAAAATAATTCAATCATTCATAACATTGAATAACACAACCCCATTACATTTACCATTAAATTATGGGAGGAAGGTAAGGACCAGAAGAATAGATTGGTTAAAAGTCAGTCGCGTTCTATGAAATTTTAAATCCTATGTTATTTTTCCTCTATCCATCTTTATTTATATAGCAACAAATCTTCTATTAACCAGTCAACAAATAAGTCTATATTTCATAAAAATTTTCTAAATATTTTTAAAACAATGTGTATATACTGCACGGTGTAGTAAACTAATGTAACTTCATCTAAACTGCCTTGCACTTCTTGATATGTAACAGAGAAAAGAACCTTGTCACTTATAACAGCTGCCAAATGCAAAGCGTACAAAACACTTGCAAGAGGATATGAAATATTTTCATATTGAAAAGAGGATATTATGAACAATGGAGTACAGAAAAAAAAAAGAATATTACAAGAATTTTACTTGACAGTGATCCCTTAGAAGATATATCGATTTCTTTAGATTAGCAGAGCTTTTCAAACATGGTTTAAAACAAAAACAAAAAAACAAAAAATAAACAAAAACCCAAATAGGCAGCATCAAAACTTTGAAATCAAATTCAGGGAGCATAAAACTTGGATACAGTCCTATTTAGCTGCTCAGTAAAGAGCCCTCAGAGTTCATGGGTCAACTACAAAAAAGAAAAAAAGCATTTTGGAATCTCTATAAAACAATTGTTTAGCATGTGTGGAAAACTGTTTTACTACTTGCCATAGCTAATTCTTGACAACCTCCTACTTAACAGCTGGTCAAATTTGATAACAGAAAATAATCTGTAAAAAAGATTCAAGTAGCTCTACATCCTACGGTACGATGGATTATAAGTAGGATCAAATTAAAAAATATGTAATATTAAATTAAGAATTCAAATAGAAAATTGCAAGACTACTGAATGTGAGAGCTTTGGGAAACGCAAATAAAAATAATGATAACATTTCTAGTGTTTGTAAAACAACAGATTACATTTACACAGGCTGAGATTACGTTTACATAGATACGTTAAGAGCTTCTGTAGTATATTTAAATTCAGTAGAAACAATGTACATGCATAAGTGTTTGTAGAATCAGGGCTTATAGAGGAGCCATTTCACTTAACATATGGGAGGAGGGAGAAAAGAAAATCATCACCTTGTCCATTTTCTTGAGGCTTGTTTTTTTTCCAAAATTCGATCTCTCGCTGCAGTTCCTCTAGTTAACATCAAAGAACAGTAATGTGAATTTTTAAATCAACACTACAAAAAGATCATTAGCAATAGCCATACTCCCCTCCATCAACCCAAATAAGTACCAAAACCAAATCAGAAACTTACGTTCTCGAAGTCCAGGCACCAGCTTAAATATAATTTCCTCTAAGGTGTTATCCAACCTTTCAAGAGGGAAAAATACATTAAGTAGGAAACAGCATTTTATGTATTTTTAACCTTTAAAGAACTTCTGAATAATACTATGAATTGCACAACATTTCTGGTAAATAACACATCATGCACAAACCAATTGATTTTATAGCTTGAAAGACAGAAAACACATGTTAAAGGCTTATCTCAACCACCTCTTTTTCTTTTAGAAATAACCCAGGAATGTATTTATTCTTTTAATGTATAAAGACAAAAAAGGAGTAAAAGAGGAAAATATTACTCTCTAAAATCTTCATTGTGTTTTTAATTTGTGTAACATGCAAATAATTATGTTTCTAAAAAGAACTAACAGAAAAAGAGGTATTCAATTTTAAGATCCAGACTACAAGTAGTAAGCTTTGAAATAATATACACCATTATCATATTCCTGTAAACTTCTGCTTACAGCTGATTTTCTTCTTGACATAAATGTCATAGTTAAAAACTACTGGATAATCACTTTAAAGATTCCTGTTGCTGCAGGACCTCTATTCCATAAAATATAGCAAAACAATATTCCATCTCTTGATTAAAAAGATGAAAAGTCTTAACCGCTCTGAGAATAGACCATGTATAAAGCCTGATGCTTAGTATAGTACAGGTATGGCACAACCTGCACAGGGAAGCTTTATTACAGAGTAGCTAATTTCAAATATGTATTTTGTTTTGATGCCTAAACAGGCTATTTGTAACTGAAGATTGGTACTAAGTTACTTATGTAAATCCCTATGAAAAGACGAGAATATGGTTCCACTGTAATTTCCATCAGCATACCTAGCAAGTCAGTAAGTATCAAATTGCTTTCACTGATAGATATAAAATAATTTAAAAGAAGGATACATATTTTGCTACTCTTAACTGCAGTTTTACAGATAAAAATAACCTAATATATGAAATACAGCTGTGTAATACAGGCCAATAAAAGCATGTGGCTAATTTCAGTGGAGATACAAACCAATGTGCAGATGGGAGTAACTGGTATGGCATTTATGCCTTCAGTTTGTACACTCACAAGTGTAAATCTTTTCTGATTTTGCAAATCTTTCCTGGTAAGTCTTTCTGGTCTCAGCCAACCCAGAGCCAAAGAAATATAAAGCTGGGTTAGAATCATCACTCAATTTCTGCAACTGCAATGACTTTAAACTGTGTGCATTTGAAAAACAAACTTACTGCATCATCAATGCAGGTTATACTATTTCATCCCTTACACAGGCTACGCAGCGCAACTACGCTTCATGTTTAGGTCATTCAGCTATTATATGCTCCTTTTACATAGTCAAATTTTGTTTTAAGAGACTGGGTACCGTGAAGTTGTAATGCCTTCAGTTTAGCCAGAGTGTCTCTCTCTCTACCTCAAAGATATGCCTCACATATAAAGTATTGAGGTCTAGAGATAAATGTTCATGGGCTTCAGGGCATCCACACTACACACTGCTTCATGTAAGCTTGTTCAGGAACCAAAGAGGTGAGATGCTGCAGTAGAGGGATCTGCACAAGCTAGTTGGCGTTATTTCGTTTTTTAAATAGCTTTTTAAGTTTATTTTTGGCTCATTCTTCTTTCCATATTTTTATTCGAATTACTGCTAAATAATACAGTAAGATTGATTTTAAGAGTTCAAGTCCTTTGCAGTAAGCCTGCTATGAAAAACTGAACAGACGCTTCCCTACTCACTACAGTACAGACGAACCAAGCTTGGCAGGATAAAGAAACCCACACAGACATCCATGCCGCTCTGGCTAGACAGCTCACACTACCCAGGCTAGCTCACTTAAACCTATTATGGGTTTGTCTACCACACTACAGGACACAGCGAAGGCATGTCCTTTGATACCTTGATATGATTTATTATTTTCTGTAGTGCCAAAGATAGCTATTATAGCCCCTTCCAAAAGATGAAGTATGTTTATCTTTGTTACTGAAGCTAAAACTATTATTTTTTCCTTCTCTGAATTTTACCTACTCTTCTATACATTTAGTCTATCATCTGCTTTCTACTTCCTCTCCACGTCTCGCTTATCCTTTGGCTTCCTCTGTCTCTCTTTCAGTTTCCTTCTCCTTTCTCTCCTTAGCCCTCTAAATCTTCCCTTGCGAATAGTAACCTAACTTAAACAAATAAACAAACAAAAACATCCAGGGTTCCCAAAGTACAAAGCAATGTGGACAGAGGAATGAAGCAACTTGAGATATAGTCAGAAGCTACAGTACAGAAATTGCCTTTGGTAAATTTACATTTTCAATAATTTGTCTTCCCAATCATTTTATGCACACACACACACACACACACATATATAACAGGCCTATACTGTATTTTTAAAATATATATATATATAAATAAAAAATGCAATATAGGCCTATTATATTTCTGAGAATTCCCACTTAGCACTTCTTATTTGCTCTTCAATGGCTCAAAATAAAAGTCACTGGTACACTAACATAACAAGAAAACCTGCGTACTTACTAAATTTATGATGCTTAGCCCCAAGAACTGGTTTCACAGTCTACTCAATGATATTCTTATCTTTCAAAGAATAAACAATATCAGCAACCCTCTCCTTAGGGAGCACAAACACTAATCAAAACAGTATCTCAGTACTTACAGAGGGGAAAAAAGCAGAAAAAATAACACTTATCTGATTTTTAAGTACAGTGAAACTAAACTTCAACTGTAGGGAATAATTCAGGAAATTTAAAAACAAAATTCTCCATTTGAGAGGCAGCTTACAGTATTCCTATCATCCAGGCCAATGAGAACTCTACGAGAGATTTATATTTCTGTGACTTGCATCAAACCCATTCCAAAATGAAAGTACTTGACATAACTCCAAAGTTGGTATTAGTCATTTAGTATACTTCCCATTAAAGCTGAAACAAGAACATTAAATATTTCAGACACACCTCTCTCCACTCCCACACTTTCCAACCTCCAAAAAATGAATGCATAGAAAGAAGAACCAGGCATTAATGTCAGCTTTTCATAGGTCCATTTTTCCCCTATTCATTAATACTGAATGAATTATAAGATCAAAGCAACTCTCTGATAATAGCTAATTACCTGAAGTGAAGCAAAAGAAACTATATACTCAGGAAAACTGGCAACCAAAGCAGCACGCTCACAAGAAAAAAAGAACTGATCCTGCCTTCATAGTATAACCAAAATCCCACTGAATATTGATGCATGTACAATTCTGTTGATTTCTAGAATTTAACACTTCCTGCAAAATTTGAATTTTCATTTTAGAGTTGAACATTTAATTTCAGACTTCGAATTATAGTTTCAACAGATCCTAAATACTGCCAGCTGAAAGATGCTTCTAAATATCTCAGATATTTATGAAGTTATCCAGAACTGAGTTTATGAAGTACTTATATCTCAAAAATACTATTTACAATGTTCAATGCCATTTCTCAAAAAAATATTGCATTCTCAAGCACTGGTGGCATGGTGCTGGTCTCTCTGAGGTCACAGAGCATAATATGCACACTAAGTTACGCAGGCAATAGCCAAAAAAGATAATTCCATTACCATGGTGATGTGCTCTTCTGATTATTAATTCAGTAAATATTTTAAAATATTTCATAAAATACAACCAGTAAATGACTAGTTATATACAGTTTCTTGGCAAAATAAACCCCTTTCACCCTAAGTGGGTTTCAGGAAACGTCCCAGAGAAAATAGTCCTTCCTGCATTTCTGGCTTGTGGTTTTAATTTTCTCACCCTTCTATCATTTCCTGTTTAAAGTATATTATTATTTTACTAAACTTTCTTGTAGATGTTTCAGAAAATGCATTTTCAGCTCTTCTGAAAGGGTCCTGTCAGAAGAGAAGTATTTCTTAAATGCTTTTGTTTTCAGCTTTTCAGGGGATTATGCACTCTATATAGCATCTTCTGCTACGGCAGACACAGTGCCTCAGACACTGACAGGAGTTTTAAAGACTTACACTAAATACACTCCTAGAACTGCTGATTTTAAGCTCTTTCAGCTATCCTCTTGATATACAACTGAAGCATGCCAATCGCCCAGGAATGTCTTTGCACACATTTATCTAAAATGTAGAGCAAAATGTAGCAAACTGTAGCTAACACAAGGAAATTAAGAAATACTACTGACCCTAGTAAATTCCAGACTTGAACATTTGTTCTCACACTGACATAAGAACATTTCCTCCTAATTTCACAGCAGCGTTACAAAACAAATAAACCTCGGAGCAACACAGTAGCACCTAGCTTTTTTATTTTTTTTAACCTGTACAGAAGATGAAGGATAGATGTGAGAAGAAAGCAATGCTGCCTTGGGGACAATCATTAACATCGCATTATGCTCTCAAGAACTCGAATCAGAGGCTTCGCATAGCCTTGCCTGGGGAGCGCCCAGTCAATCTCAGTCAGTTTCACTGGGCACACAGTGACCAAGAAAATAGCCAGTTTACTTTTTACTGCTTTAGAGTTTCTCCAGAGTTCCCTAAAAAATCCAGATCATCACTGATTCAAATCCTCTTTTCAGCTAAGAAACCAGTTTCCATGAAAAATAAAAACAAACAAAAAGTCAGCTCTTGTAAGCACAGGTTCATTCTTGCATGCTTGCTCTTGCATGCTCTCTCGCCCTCTCGCTCCCCCCCCACTCTTGGCCAGGTGAGCTTGTTATTTGATTAATTCAAATACTAGGTATGTGAAAAACTACCTGGAAGATCAACTCAGGAAAATCTCTCCTAAAACTGCTTGGATCATATTAGGTTGCAGAGTCATATATGGAAGGACAAAATTATAAGTTTTTACAACACTTTCTGTTTAACTATACAACATGAAATGGCAACACTTCTCAGGAAAAGCAGGTTAGTAATAAATACTATAGCTTCCAAGAAAATGCGTGCAGGCCTGGCTAAACAGAAGATCTTTAGAGAGATGAAACAATCAGTGCACTGCATCTCCAAATATAATTCATTTTTTTGGTCAAATAGCAGACATAAAGAGTGAAAGTGGTTCTTTAGCTTTAAAGTCTGAGTGAAATTGCTCCTAAAAAATATCATTTTTCACCAACCTATAAAACATCATAAGGTTAGGAATACCCAGGGTTCACAAAACATTGAGAAACTTTGTACAAGTAACACTAGATAGGCAGACGTGAATTTCTTTTAATCATCTCCTCTGTGGTCCTGGAAGACATAAGAAAGCTGAGCCTACAAAGATACCCTAAGAACGAATTAACAAACACTCGAAGAGAGTAAAAATGGTCCCTTTCAATAGAATGAGTAACTATTTGTTTGTGGGTTGTTTGACCAAATCAGCATCCTTTCCCTAATGAATACATTAAACAGTACTCATTTTTCTCATCTAGTTTTCACCCTAAAAATTTCCTTTCAGAAATCCCTCACTTCCAGTAATCACCAGTAATTACAGCTAACACATCATTATTTTACAGTTCAATAGGGACATACCAGGGAGGCAAATCTAAGCCAGAGGACCCCAACATATCACCATATAGTGCCTGTGACAACTTCCAGGATTGCTTGTGGGCTCAGGAAATGGAAAGTTTAAACTATCAAGGACAGTAACTACAGTATCCCCAGCAGTGGGCACTTCCTCAGTACAGTTGCTCATTGGTTAGTGGAATTTAGGCACCACTATTCAGTGTACATTTGTGACACTTACTGGTACTTAAAAAAATAACAATGATGACATAAATAGTAAGACTACAGATATTTTAATATGATATAACTACCAAGCTGAACGCTTTAAAGCCCTTCAAAGTCCTTCAACAATGTTTTAAACAATTTGTTCTGGTTATCAAATATTGAGAGAAAAGTGAACATTAAACAGAGATTCAACTAACTTCCATTTAGATCTACTTCATTAATATGAGAAAATTTTACAAATTCCCCTCTGATGCACACCTTATGAATTACAGGCTTATACTTGGGGAGGATATCAGCATAAACTTGCTATGTTCCCTAACCAACTTTTCAGAATTTGTCACAGTCCGTCTTTGTAGTCCTACACTGATAACCTGCCGTCTTCCTGTTTCTTGCTAGCTTTCTGCGTGTGCTTAAATTGTCTTTAATTTCTGGCATGGCTTGTGCATCCTTTCAAACTGCTGTTCATTCAGTAACACATAATTTGTATAATCTGGAATGCTCTTGTAGAGCTGCAGGGATCCACTTAAACACAGATATCTTAGAATGAGTCTCCCTATTCCAGGTAACTGTACCAGCAGATATTTACTACAGTATGTTTATCTCCATAGATAATCGCTTGATTTAGATGAGAATATTGACTGGCTTTAAGACTTATCTAAGCCAGGTGTATATGAGAACTATTAAACTTTGATTAGCTATCCCACTGAAACTTATTTGGGATACTGGGCACAACTTAATTAGAAATCTCTGTAGCAGGCAGGGGAAGAGCACATATATAAGCCCTTTCATCCTACAGGCTGCCAACAAGAATACTCTGAAAAGTAGCTAAAACGTTGGGGGGGTGGAGAGGAGAGAAAGGGCCAGGAGAGGAGGGCTGTTCATAAATTGTAGGAAAAACCATCATTTCTTCCACCTATAATGACATCTCTTGATTTCTCTGCACTATACTTTTAGGATAGCTATCACTTTTGATTCAACGTAACATCACCAAAAGAGAATCCAGAACTTCAACACAAATAATCATTTAAACAACGTTGTATAAGTTATTGTGATATAAAAAAAAATGCACATAATCAAGAAAGCACACTTTCAGTGTCAAAACTGTCTTTCATGACTGCCTTGTGATCACTCTGACAGCAGATGTCAATTTAGACTGGTAAGCCTATTGCTTGGAAAACAGTTATTTGTATGACCAACTTTCTACATTGCTCTAAGAAAAAAGTTACATGCAGCACGGATTCCCCTAAATCACCTGGAAAATGAACTACAGTAACTCACTTCACGTAAAGAATAAGAGGTGTCTGGTTTGTTTCTTTGTTTAGGGGTTTAGAAATATTTTTATTTGTACAATACAGCCAGACCAACTGTGTCTTTCCCTTATCTTTGTTTCTTTTACTATATCTGAAAAATCTCAGTTTACAACTTATTTGGTGATTAAAAACTGGCAAAATCTACAGGCAAGACCACCTGATATATAATTCTACAAATAAGCAAAAAATAGAATTCACTTTCAGCCTAAAGACATTAAGAGTTTTTAAATTTTTTCTTCTACTCATTTCAGCAAACGTTGTTTCATGCCATCTTACCGTAACATTTCTAGTGGATTGGTCTCATGAACTTGGTTGCCACACCTGGGACAGTCATTGCTGTCTTCAAAGTGCTGAACAATACAAGTCTTACAAACTGAGGGACAGAAAAAAAAAAAAGTATATAGCTTAGATCAAGATCTAAATATTATTGATTGCACATAGCCTGCTATTGTTACCACCTATTTCATGCATCAAACATATAAGAACATTATTCTAAAGCAAATAAGTACAACGTACCATTTATACCTTATCTACTTCTTGTTCCCTAAAGTCATAGCTAGTTCTGCTCTGCTGAGACTGAGAACGCCCAGTTCAGCAGCACTGAGTTCAGCAGAACAGGTTAGACACTGCTTTATAGCATGCAGTATTTTTATTATTTTATAATTCTCACAGCATTGTAAAATGCAACAACCACGCCATGTCGCTTATGTGAAGAACAGGTTCTGAGAAAGTGCATGCTGGGGAGTCCAGTCCCAGCAGGAGCCATTTGTTACTTCAGATGATCTGAAAATGACTTGTGCACGTGCACCTTATTTTCTTTCCTTCAGCCTTTCTCATAACTGAAAACATTATTGTAAATACTTCTTAGAAGAGAAAAGTTCACAAAAACTGTACACGGGTTCACAATGGCTGTTTCCCTTTGGATATAACACCTTCAGAAGCAATGAAATAACAGCAAACATTTAATACTTCAATCTGATCATGAAAATCAGGATCATCATCATGGCAAAACCCAGCACAACAACAAGAATTTAAAACCCAATAAACTGGTATTAAACAAAGTGCTACACTGTTGTTGCCTCCAAACGGTTAATTGCAGATAGCAGATTTTACCTTCATTAATAAGAAAATGAACTCAAGTGGATGAGAACGAATATATTTGCTGTTGTGTTACAATATTCTGAGTGGAGATAAACTCCCTTCTCCATTTATTATTACTTCACCTAAACTGAAGTGAGAACTACAAATTCAACAGTAAATGGACTGAAAAAGTAAACGGAACTGCTGCAACTACAATGTGCCTTTTGCTGAAACACTATTTTATAATTTATCTCATTAATTTTCCAAAGAACTAAGAGCACTCCTAAGACAAACCGTTAAATCTTAATCACATGGCAATCTTCAAATCTCTAGAAAACCAAGCATTTTAAACAAATGTCACCTAACAAGCCAAGTCTGCACTCATGTTTTTCTTAGAGTGCTCAGAAGAGTTAGTACAAATCAGCTGAAGCTGATAATATACATACCGTGTGTTTTTTCAAACTGGTTTAAAACACTTAGAGCAACAAATGGTATGTTCTGCACCTACAGGTCTTCTTCACTTTTCTATAAACTTTTTATACCTAAAACTTTTAACGTTTTGCTGCTGTAGCGTCTTCACGCTAATATTTTACAACTGGTTTCCCTAACCTTTGGTGATCAATACATTAAGCTTAGAATGCAAAGAATTTCATCACCTGCATAGAAGCGCTCATGCCTCAGTCCAACAGAGCACTTAAGAACATACTTAACTTTAATAAGTTCCAGTAACTCTTAAGATATATGTAGTTAGGATTTCTATAATCTCTCTTTGTTAACATGACTGAGAAACTCTATTACAACTGAAAAAAAAATCAAAGTTATCTTTGAAAATGAAAAGATATGAAAACTCTTAGGTGAAAGATTTTTTTTTTTTAAAAGATGTAACATCTACACATATTCAACCAGGGACAAACATCATAAAGAGGAATTCTTTAGCTGATCAGCAGCTCCCTTCCTCAGCTATCCCAGTTCCCCTAAGTATCTGAACTATCTTTACTTCTGTCACCCACCTGAGATACGAAGTGCAAGGAGCAACTGAAGACATCCTTTAGTTCCTTCACTAATCAAAAACCAGCCACATACATAGCATAATGTAATAGAGAAGAGGAACAGTTTGTAAAATATATACAAAAATCACCCCTCCAAGAATATCAATCACCATTTTCTTTTTCTTAAATTCGTGCACTAGCTGGATAAGAGTTAGGCATTTCTCACTCAACTAGCCATGCCAAGATTAAATAGAGGTTTTTTTGGTTTATTTTTTTTCTTCACCCAGGTCTTTTATAGGTTTTTTTTTTTTAATTGCATTGTTTGCTTTGGATACTGTGATTAAAACTTTTTATCTGCACTTTATCCTAAAATGGCTTAAGTTTTGTATGTATGTAAAGTAAATAGATAAAAACAAGACATTCCCCACCAAACAGTGTCATGAATCTGCTCTGATGTACTCCCTTTAAACAAATATCCTGGCTCCTAATCACAACCTCCAGCCTATTAAAAGGTAAGAGAGCGTACCCTCATTTCAGGTGCACAGGCCTGGGGAGGCAGTGGTGTTGTATACCATAATGATCAGAAAAGCTCTCTTGCCTGTAGCTAGATGCCAGGGTGCATGCTTGAGCCCCTAAGGCCAGGAAGTGTCACAAGCAAGTATCAGTCACAGGTGAAGGAGTAGCACCACTGTCCCGAAGTCAGACATTTTGAACAGGCACTGCCTAAGACATAACGCTCAGTGCAAACGTGTACTGATGAAAAAAAAGAAGCTGTACAAGCATCCAAATCTGAATTACTTACAAGCAGCCACCAGCACCACTTGAGTGGTTACATTCCACAGTTGGAATTTGATAAGCTAGCCAAACAAAAAAAAAGTAACATTCCCCCAAATTTTTCTTGCTCATCCTCAAACAGTAATTACTATACCTTTACTTCTTTGATACTATGAGTAGTCCAGAACACTATTAAAAAAATGCCTCTAGACAAATTGGGGACATGCCACGTCCATCTGAATTTTGGAACAAACACCATTAACACTAATTAATATGAAAATTCTGATATAATGTTCATGAGAAAGCTGGAATCAAGTGAGGTTTTTCCTCTGAAATAGTATACAGTGCAGTGCTGGTATCAAGTCATTCATTTATCTTCTTGAGAAATGAAAAATGACCAATCATTAAGAGATCCTACTCTGAACATGTGATACAAAGATCAAAACAGAAGCATCTTTTGATAATATGGCATTTTGATAATGCTATTTTGATAGTACAGTTCAAAAAAACCATGACAGAGAAGGTTCTTTAATTGATAGCCATACCTATTGTAAACCCTGTAAAAAATGTAAGTATTACGTTTATGTAAGTAGGTATCTTATGTTTATAACATGGTATGTAGATATATAGTGGTTAAATTGCATCTACCTTTGTTTTATGAAACTCAGAGATTTTTACAGAAAGAAGATGGTCTAGAAAAGGAAATACTGCAATGAACGGCAGCAATTAACATTGCTGAAAATTAAATTTTCCCTGTTCATTGATGGAAAATATCCCTTCTTCCTATTAATCAAAAAATTAGGGCATTTCTGGAACATGATTCTTCTGTATTATTGAAGTGGAAAGCATTGAAGCTATTAAGTGTAGAGGTATTAGGTCGGGGTGAAGTCAATTAAAGATCTAAAGATTATTAACCTATTAAATCAGAAATCAGAGATAGAAACAAAGGTTTTAGAGCTAAAAGTCTGAAATAAAAGTCCTAGAGTAAGCACTTCCTGGATGACTTCGATGAGAATCAAAATAACCATATTCTGTTCGAGCTTTGTAACTCGGGGGATCTGTGGAACACACTATTGTCAATTGATCTCTTCAACTGCAACATCTGACATTTCATAATCCTGGTTTCCACAGTGTACTGAAGATAGAGATGATACATTACCTCTGTCAGGAAAAACTGAACAGATTATTGGTGGGTGATGACAATACTGATGAGAACCACAAGGTTAAGAATCATCTGTTATCTCAGAAATCCCATTAGTTGGAGAATGCTAATTTAAGGGGTGTGGAAAAAAAAGTCAGAGCAGCTATGATGGTGAAATCAAAGTCTAACAGCCACAAATAATGGCCATATGGAAATTCAGCAGAAAACCACTGAGGTAACATACCGGTTGGGTTATTCTAGACCTCTTCTAACTTGACATCACAGAAATTGAGCTTAGGCATAACTCTATTTCAATACAGATCAGAAAGTAAGATAGCATTCCTCTTCTGCTAACCCCTCTGAAAAAATGAAGTGGTTGGTTTTAATTTTCTTTTCTTTTTTTTTGGTAAGCCTCCAATCTGGTAAAAACACCACCATCTCTTTGGATTCAGTTTTTCTAACCTGATGCAAATTTTGAAGGATTGATAAGAATAAGAAATTTGGAAAAAAAATGGTACAAACATCAGCAGTACCGATCAACATTAAGAATTTCAATAATTTTCATTTTTGAACTGACAAGCTCTATAGTGAATCTTCTCTTACTCTGGAAATTTTTGCAAGCTTGGTATCAATACCAGAGGGTGTTAGTTTTTCTTTTTTTCCTGTAAGCAATTAGAGTCCCGTACTGGCCTCCTTCAGACCACACTTCCCTGTGCTTTAAGAAAGCTATGTTTGAAATTCTTTGAGGAGAGTTTATTTACCTGCCCTTGAGATCTCTGCTCCATTCATGTCAGAGAATTTACTGAAGTCTATGATGAGATGACACTGATCTGTTCTGACTACCTTGGAGCAGGACTCATTGATCTGCCTTGTAAAAATAATCCAAACTTGGCTTTCCTAAGTTTTTTGTTTGTTTTCCAAACTGCAGACCTATCTGAGCTATGGCTTTCCTTTATATCCGGAAAGAACTTGGAACAATTATCATTCAGAAGAACTTATGCCCCAGGAGAGAGAACTAATAAGTTTATTTGGAGCCAGAGGACTGGCTCCCTAAACCTCCTAATACTAAATACTGCTAAACATAGAGCATGCTGAATCTACTTTAATGTAACTCAAAGAACTATTTATAATATAAACCATCCGTGGAAAGGGACCAAAGTTCTCAGTCTCAATATATCTAGGTGCCCTCTTTGGACCCTTTTTGAGAGAACAGGGCTCCTGTGCAAGCCATGGGGGTCCAAGAAAGAGACTAATGATTAATGAAGATTTTAATCTCCAGTGAAAGAGAGGTCTATGAGCAGAACACATATAGATGAAACATCATTAAAAAATAGGAATCTTAGGAATAATCTTCTACATGGATGCATTCCCTACCCCCACGAACATACA